TCCAAATTTTCACGTCCCCAAATTCCCACGTCCCCAAATTCCCACGTCCCCAAATTCCCACGTCCCCAAATTCCCACGTCCCCAAATTCCCACGTCCCCAAATTCCCACGTCCCCAAATTCCCACGTCCCCAAATTCCCACGTCCCCAAATTCCCACGTCCCCAAATTCCCACGTCCCCAAATTCCCACGTCCCCAAATTCCCACGTCCCCAAATTCCCACGTCCCCAAATTCCCACGTCCCCAAATTCCCATGTCCCCAAATTCCCACATCCCCAAATTCCCACATCCCCAAATTCCCACGTCCCAAATTCTCACGTCCCCAAATTCCTACATCCCCAAATCGCTACATCCCCAAATTTCTACATCTCCAAATTTCTACATCCCCAAAATCTCTACATCTCCAAATTCCCACATCCCCAAATTCCCACGTCTCCAAATTCCCACGTCCCCAAATTCCTGCATCCCCAAATCGCTACGTCTCCAAATTCCTACATCTCCAAATCGATTTACATTGAGGATATAGCTTGTACTTATGATCGATCACGCGCCAACTCATGGGTTGACATCGGTACATGGCTCAGTTATCAACAATCTATAATAATATATAATCCTTGCAATTGCTTCTATTTGCTGAATATTTTCATTCTTAATTTTTTTTATATTGTAAACTGTGGAATATAAAGGCTATATTTGATCATTTTTGGTTTCACATGGACCAACCCTCTTAGAACTTTTGTGTTATGACAATTGTCAATGTCTTTATACATATACAGTGCCATATTATATTTGTCTCAATTTCATTTTGTTATCAATAATATTTGCAACTGTAATCGTGAATATTTCCAAAAATATAAAATATTGCAGTTCAATGATGAACACATTCGTAAACAGCAAAATGAGTATCACCAATATGCAGAATCTTATTGAAATCGATGAAGGAAATATCATATTCTTGTAAATGACCTGAAGATTTTTAAAATGAAGAATAGAAATACCATAACAATTTTTAAATAATTTGTAATACACTCTGTATTGTATAAGGACGTTTCCTGAAAGGCTTTAAAAGATCATTTAGCTCCAAGAAACACTAGCGCCGGCACTGCTCCGTGTAAACGCAAGCATTCGGTCAATTAAAACGCACAATTCACTTATATACTTGATAACATAAACGATATAAGATCTGCAACAGTGAAATCATACTTCTTTTTTGCTAAAATGCTGCCTTACGTATTTTTCTACGAAAGTATTTGAAAGTAAGGGTCAGGTCCAAAGCAATACATATTAGATATTATTTTATTGCTGAGAATTGTACGCGGGCTTTTATGAATACGATTTATACATATAAGTACGCAGATATTTGTAATCGAACAAGACGACGAACAATGGAAATGTAAAATGTATTTGTATTTATCTTGTTGTGAATAAACTTTTGTTTTTACATATGTATTTTTTTATTGTGATACCTTTTCAGATTTGTTATGTGTTAACAGAATTGTTATTTGATTTCTATAAATTATTATTTAATATTTTATCATAATTTCAAATTTTTACATTTGTCAATTTCCGAATTGCAAACTTCAGTAATTTCTAATTTACAGAATTTCTAGATTCAATAAGTTTCTTACTTTTCAAAATTGAAATTTATCGAATTCCTTGATTTTCAATATTTTAATTTCTCAATGATCTGAATTCTCAAATTCTCAGTTTCCCAAAATTTTAAATTACCAAATTTCTAATTTACCAATATTCTAAATTCTCAAATTCTCAATTTCCTAAAATTTCAAATTTCCAAATTTCTAATTTTCCAATATTCTAAATTTCCAAAGTTCTAAATTCCACAGTAAAATTCTACAATTTCCAAATCCTCAGATTTACAAGTTTACCAATTTACAAACCCTCCAATATTCAAATCGTCAAACTCATAAATTTTCAAACTTACAAATCCGCATATTTCCAAATTCTGCAACTTTCAAATCCCCATTTTTCCAAGTCCTGCACTTTTCAAATCCCCATATTTTCAAATTTCCACATTTTCAAGTCCCCAAACTTTTCAACGTCCAAACTTCCAAATTCAGTATTTTTCAACCCCCAATATTTCAAAATTTCCAAATTCTCCAATTTTTGAAAATTCTCCAAGTTCTCCAAAATCCTGAAAATCTAAAACCCTAAAATTGCATATTAGAACAACGCTAGCAGATAAACATAAAAAAATCCAAGTAGCATAAGTTATCGTTAACACGGTCAGCTGCGACTGATCGATCAGCTGTAAGTACCACTGTGACGGTTCCGCGTCCTTGAGAGTAGGAAATGAAATATTAGTAGACTATGGTCTAACTTTTGTACGGATGCTCAACTAGCCAGATTGATATAGATCGTAATGGCGTTAGGTTACTTTTGTTGAAAGAATTTCGTCATAGAGTCGTCATCGACGCCAACCTTCTATAGTCTTTCTATAAGAACCATTGCGTGTGACCCACGTGTCTCTAATTATGCTCTAAACGAAATCAATCTTGAGCGTTCATTATACGAAATCAATCTCCAGTAGACATTCAGATATTTATCTAAAGACGTACTCTTTTTTTACTGACTCTATAATTAAATACAAGGACATTTTGATACATTTAATTGTACTGTTAATTTTATTTTATTTGTTATTTATTATTTTACTGTTACATCATACCATTTCACTTTAATTTTATTACTTATTTTTCATTTTATTTTATTTTACTTTATTTTTATTTTTATTTTACTTTATTTTTATTGTTATTGTTATTTTTATTTTTATTTCTATTTCTATTTTTATTTTATTTGACTATGGCACTTTAATTGTACTATTCACTTTTTATTTTATTTTATTTTTGTAGACTGTCAAATATATATTTATAAACCTACAATTTCAAATAATATATGAAAGTGTACATATTAGCTAATTCACAAGTTTTCAAAGATTTGCAAATTTCTAGTTGACAAATTAGAAGCTTCTACAACTTCACAAATACTTTAAACTAATCTGATAAAAAAATTTGCAAAAAATTTGCTAAATTTGTAGATTTACAACTGTACAAATGTACCAATGCAAAAGTTTGAAGGAAAAATACAAAAATTAAAAAATGTAGAAGTTTAATATAAAAATCGTTCTGTATAAAAGTTATAAAAATTGAGAAACATGGAAATATCAAGTTTTAAAGTTTTGAAAAAGAAGAATAATGGAGGTTTTACTATAATAACATCCATAGATGTCGAACTATAGTTTTATCGTTTCTAAAAGTTTTGCCTTACACTTTTAACACCGAAGTTGATGAACGAGAACATTTAATTTGCATGTGACTAATTACGAATAACACGTCAGTGAGTCTCCTAGTTTCGAAGGAATGCAAATTAACAGCCACAAGTCAACCAAGGTTGCAAGAGTATCGCAGAAACTCAAGTCGTATACTTTGAAAACCTCCAGGTAACGCACGAGCAAAGAAACAAATATTTGCATCTCATTAGATCGTGGTTTGAAGCAAGCTTTTTTTCGTTCATCTTTTAGGAGTCTTTTGGAAGAACATCGACGAAAAGAGGTAAATAAATGATTCGAGGTAAAAAAAAAATGGCGCGTTAATCCTCGAAGACTTTGCGATGCAAATATTTGAATATTTCAAAAATTGGGAAAATAAATATCGTGTGATGAAACTTTGTGTTAAATAAATTTTTACACATTTAACTCTGTATACTCTCTGTATATTTTAAGATGTTCAATGTTGTCAAATTTTAAATTCCTGCTTAAAGAAATAATTATGTCATTGGACATGTATGTTCACATATGCGTGTACATATGTGT